TGAGGATAGATCATAGACCTTAAAAAAAAAAAGAGTTAAACAATAAAGCTACTAGGAAAAAGATATTACTTTCATGAATTTGGAGTAGGTAAATATTTCCTAGAACAAAGAGAGTACAGTCTATAAAAGCAAAAAAAGGATGTATTGGACTTCATCAAAATTAGGTTCTTCTCATCAAAAGATACAGTGAGAAAATAAAGGTGAGTAATCAAAAGGAAGTAAATATTCATAATACCTATATATGCCCAAAGAACTTGCATCCAGAATGTGTAAAAAAAAATAAATAGAATACAACACAACCCAATAAAAAAATGAGTAAAAGCCTTGAACAGAAATTCTGCCAAAGAAGATATTCAAATGAGAAATAAACACATAAAGAAGTTCTCAACACCATCAGTAATCAGCAAAATGCAAATTAAAATTTGGATAGCACTACACACACACTAGAACAGTTCAAGTAAAGATTTACCATACAAAATATTGGGAGGATGTGAAGCAACTGAAACTTTCATACATTGCTGATGGGAATGTGAAATCATACAACCGCTTTGGAAAATTGTTTCGCAATTTCTTACAAAGTTAACTACCAGTAATTCCACTTCTACATATTTACCTAAGAGATAAATACATATGCCTACAAAAAAAAAGGCTTTATACAAGGATGTTCATAGCATCTTGATTCATAATAGCCAAAACTGAAAAGAGCTCCAATATTGACTGACGTAAGAACAGTGGTTTTTTCACATCGCGTAATATACTAATCAGCAAAATAACTGATAATACATAACAATGGAGATAAATATGAAAAACACTATGCTGAGTGAGTGAGAGAAGCATGGCTCTTTGTCCTAAATTGAATGGGCAGTCATCAGTTTTACAGGTCTTTGAAACATCATCAGTTTTACAGGTGCCTGCAACATCATTTAACAGTGATGATTATACCTGCTCCTTCCCTGGCACACATTGAAACACTGACCCGCTATGGGCTAAGGAATAAGTAAAAGGTGAGAAAGCAGAGATGGAAAGTATAGACAAATCTATTACAAAATAAAAGGGAGTAAAGAGAAAGGATAGTGTATAGAGAGGTTCAAATTGAGGTTGAGGGAGGCTTTTTGGTTATGCTTTGTTTTGTTTTACTCTTAAGGACTTTTGTTTTGGAATACAGGTGGAAATCTAAGCTGATCAAAATACGTAGAAAGAGCCAGTACAAAGCAAAGGCTAAAGATACAAAAAAAAAAAAAAAAAAACCAACAACAACAATAAAAAAACGGAAACCATGATTGAGAAGACAGAATCCAAGTAGATAGAAAGAGACAGAATCCAGTGCACACTTGAAAGAACAATTCTATCAGACTACCTCGAAAGCTTTAACAGGAAAGAGAAAAATGGATGGTTAATAAACATGTAAGATTTGAGGCTGGGTAGCCCAAAGTAGAGGGAGCTTTATCTGGTAACTCTACTTTCACTATGAAGTAGAATGCAAGATTATCTCCTAAGAGTGAAATGGAAGATGGGAAGTTTGGAGATGTGAGAGTACAGAGGCTGGAATTTATACTGTGGAGGAATAGAAAGAGTTGTCTAGAGAAAACAGGGTTAATGAGAAGCACTAAGAGGCCAAATTAATTTGGTAACCATAAACCATGGTAGCAGCAAACTACATAACTGCAAATAATATATTTATTTCTGAGTGGTCAGCTGCTCACTGCTAACATAGGGAAGGGACAGAGAGCTGGATTAAGGAAAGTTTAGGTTACCCCAGACAGGCATGACAGAAGGGCAGTAGGGCAAAGAATTCAGGAGACTATAAAAAATGACTTTTTGGTATTCTTTATCCATAGTTTGATTATATGTTTGTTGAATTTTTTTACCTAAAAAAAAAAAAAAGACTATTAACCCTTTTATAGATGTGTTGCAAATACTTTCTTATTCTATTACTTGTCCTTCAATTTTTTTATATGCATATTACTGTACAGTCTTAAATGTTTAATATAGTCATACTGTCAATATTTTAGCTTACAGCTTCTGGATTTGAATATTTCACTTCAGGGTAAAAAAAATATTAGTTTGTATTTTCTCCTAAAACTCCTTAGATTTTACATGTTGATTTTTAAGTCACCTGAATATTTTTTGTATAATGTGTGAAATAGGGCTATTTGTTTTATTTCAAGTAACAATGGTCCATGCACCTTATTTGTTGAATAAGCCTTATTTTCCCCACTGATCTGAACTATCAATTTAATCATATATTACATTGTTAGACAGATATATATGTTTGTTTCTAGAATGCTCATTTTATTTCATTAAGCTACTTGATTATTTCTGTGCTGGTGTCTCGTTTTAATTGCTGAGACTTTATAATGGATTTACATTTTTGAAATATTTTATAATGGATTTTGACATTAAAAAAATAAATAAAATCAATCTGCATTTAAAAAAAAGAAGAAAGGAACTCCTACCTTTTGAGACAACATGGACAGAACTGGAGAATATTATGCTAAGTGAAGTAAGCCAGTCGGTAAATGACAAATACTATACGATCTCACCTATAAGTGGAATCTATTCAACAAAATAAACTAACGAATAAAATAAACCACAGGCATGGAAACACGGAGCAGACTGAAAGTGACCAGGGGAGCTAGGGAAGGAGGACAATGGTGGAAAGAAGGGGAAGGGACTAGACAAAGACCATGTCTGAATGACATGACCCATGGACATGGACAGCAGAGTGGGAATTGACTGTGGGAGTGGGATGGGGGGTGGGGTGGGTGGAGGGGTGCAAAGGGGGAAAAACTGAAACAACTGTAATAGAATAAACATGATTTAAAAAATAAAAACTTTTAAAAAGTGGGTGAAATGATGTATCATGGAGTCTAAACTAGGAAAGAAAGTGAAGAAAGCAGGGGGTTTCAAGTTAAATAGAAAGTTTTTGGACTTAAAGATTTGAACGAGGTCAGATAATGAAAGTATTAGAAGTAAAATGGACTTCTTTTATCCAAAAAGAACCAAGGTTATGAATAAACTGTAAGGTAGTTAGTGTTATTGAAATGGAGCAGGTTATGATCCAGGGTAACAAAAGTGATAGGAAAAGATGATGACAAATAAGTGAAGGAAATGAGAGACCAGGATACTACTACTTCATACGTGTGAATGAGCACCCAGGATGGCGGCAGGACTCGGGCTAGGGTAAAAGGAAAGACTCTGAGCTACTCTAAATTAGGAAGACTGAAGAGTGACCTGAATATAGACAGGTAACAGTAAAAAGAGGTAGAGGGCACTAGAGTCAAGTGGAATGAACCACAAAGGAGTTGGGGTTTTTTGTTTGTTTCATCTTATATGCATGGAAAAGTCAATGATCTGAAGGTAGCAAAAAAATAGCAACCAGACCCTTAATCCACAGGTATGTGCGGAGCCGTTTCCACTTAAGATGGCTTCAGGGAAATTGTGTCTCTGAGAGAATAAGATTTCAATTAATGTCAAGAAGTAAAAGGAATAATCACTGAAGTACTTGAGGATGGATGGGATTCAAGAGATATAAAAAGAAAAATATAAGAGGGATGGGAATATCAAGAGATTGGTTCAATAAATAAACAAACAAATCAATCAAAACAGAACAATATGGACATAAGCGTTCAGGGGAAGACAAATGGCCAAACAGATCATCTTGGACAGTGAATGAAGGTAACAGAAATTTGTAGCATCCTGAACTACCTTATCTCAAAAGTACTGAGAACTGCACTGAATAATGAGACCTCTCAGGAGCCATCTGTGGCGTGGGAAATCCCAGTCCCTCTGGAAAGGGTCAGCTGGCTGGAACCAAACATCTCAGAGGAAAAATTCAGGTCTCAAGAGCCTCAAGAGCTTGAGGCACACATTCTCAAGCAGAGACTAGAGGCTCTACATAAGCCCTAGTCAAAATGTGATCCATCCATCCCCTGGGATGCTCTTTAAAATGCACATTCCTGGGTCCCAGCACAGTCCCACCGACTCAGTCTAAAGGACTAAGGACTAGGAACATCCAGTTTCTTGTGATTTTCTATTTCATTTTGGGGGAAGGGTCATTAATGTTTGAGAACCATTACTTTTTTTTAAACATTCATGGGGCATTTTTCTCTGTACCAGCATCTGAGAAATGCTGCTCGAAGTAGATGTGAGGCCTGAGCAGGGGCTGTAAGATCTTTTGGTGGAGGCTGAATGGGGTAGTAATACTTAATTGTGGAAGCTTTCAGTAATTATCTGAAACTTCAGATTTTTTATGAACTCAGCAGGAGATCATAAAAGGGTGCTGGGTGGTAAGGTGACCAAATCAGACACCTTTTAATAGATTAGAAAGATTGGGAGGTTTGATGACAACATTTGTGAGGAAAAATAACATGAGGTAACCCACTAAGGCAGGAATGCAGCAAATAGAAAGAACATGTATTTGGTATTTGACCTCTTAGAATTCGGGAACAGCTCAGATGGGGGCATGAGGCAGAGGAGAAACTGAAGATAACTGTGTTTTTAAAATTGAATAATTAAATATAGTTTCCGCGGCCTCACTCGTCAGAGATAACCAGTCAGTAAGTTTGGGGGTGGGCCAAGGAAGCTGAATATTAAACAAGCACCAAATCCCTGCCAGGGTTTACAAGCTCAGCTCTTTCATGGACCATATTGGGCAAAATAGTTAGTTCCTAATGTCACAGATAGGGGGAGAAATAAATATGAGACAGGTGTAAGCGTACAGGAGTGTTAAAAATCTGTATCATAAAAATGCTAATAATTGCTACAAGAAAGCAATACACTTGTCTGTCCTAAACCCTAATAGAATTAGTTGATCCAAACATAATTATATCACAAATTCCCTGGCGTCCTCCAAGAAGCATTCACAAATATTTTACTCACTTTTACTTTAATGTCTTTTTAATGCACAGATTGTCCTGGCATCTGGACACATGACATACTTGAAAACACATTAAATGTATACTGCCCAAAGTAGACAAAAAAAATTGCCTTGCACGTACCATCTATAATGTTCATCATTGGGGGCCTTCTGCTTTAGCCTGGTCCCATTGAATTATTTTTTAGAAAATTCTGTACTTTGCATGGATACAAAGGAAAGAGCATTTCAAATCTAGGAGGAAAAAAATTTTCACCAAGTAAGTGACTGTTTTCCTAAGCAAAAACATGATCATTACTATTTGCCAGGGTTTAAATTCAGCAAATGGGAAATGAACCTCAGCGATTTCTTGTATTATATTTGTAAAAGGAGATAGGTTAGTTAAGCTACAACTGGCCTATGATGTGACTTTTAATAGTCTATTTTAAAAGTTATTAATGATACAAATTACACTTTCTTCCAAATAAAAGTTATCTCTTATGTAAACAATACTACTTTCAAAAGATTTCTACAAGCTACAATATTGTCCCAAATTAATAAAACTGCAAATGCTGTTTTTGCTATTACAAAGTACTGAAACAACAAAAGACACATAGCCAACCACGTAAAACAGCAAAAACAGCTACAACTTTAGTACAAAACCAGCAGGGCCAGCAAATTGTACGACTGAATGCTAAGAGCTTAACAAGCCAAGAGGAATGAGAAGCAAGTGTATGTTTGGCTTCAGGATTCCGAGGTGAAGAAAGGGCAGTTTCATATATGCTTTGAACATTAACCAACCCACCTTCACACTGCTTTTCCTGAATAGACAGAGTTATTAAAAATAGAGATATAGATCTAAAGGTCCCAAAATTAGTTTTTCAATACTTACAATTCTTTAAACTGTTATTTTAATATAATCTCATACGAACCCGATTATTTCAATTATCATACAAATAATAAAAAACTCCATCTACATGGTACCAAAAACTGGTGGCTAACTGATGAGGAAAAATAATAAGCTCTGGATGCAGATATCTCAGGTTGCATCTATTTTTATCTCTGTGATTCCTAAGTAAAAACACACATATCTATTTTATCCTAATTCCCCAATATGCATTGCCTCTTCTTGGTTCTAAAGTAATATTAAAAATACTTATGGTTTAGAGTTTTCAATAAGTTACTTGAGACAAAGTTTTACTAGGAAAAAAAGTACATTTTTAATGTTTAACCCAAATGTTAAATGCATTTGGGAACTTCTGATATTTCTATCTGTGTTCAGTGTAGATAAAATGCTTTGATACACTCTTAATAACTAAGTTTGGTTTATTCAAATTAAAAATTTTTGTTTTCTTTTTTTTTTTCTTTTTCTTTTTCTTTTTTATTATTGAATTTATTGGGGTGACATTGTTTAATAAAATTACATACGTTTCAAGGATATAATTCTACAATACATCATCCGTATATTGTATTGTGTTTTTACTACTCCAAGTCTCCTTCCATCACCATTTATCCCCCCATAGTCAAATTTGCTTTTGACAAAGATTTAAAATAAAAATAAAACAATAGGGAAATGGTAAATCAGTGAAGAGAAATTTATAAAAAGCACACAAAGTTTGATGAGAGATTATGTGAGATACTTCCTCTCCATGCCCAATTTCTACAAAATGTTAGTTTTTAAAAAAAGGTTATATGGAAAAAAATTTTAAAATTTAGTCAGGTACAGATAACTCCATAGAGACAGAAAGTAGATCAGTGGTTGCCTGGGGCAAGGATTAGGGATTGACTGTAAACTGGCACAAAGGATATTTTGGGGGTAATAAAAATGTTCCAAAACTGGATTATGGAGATGGTTGCATATCCAAGAAATCATTGCCAAATTCAATGCCATGATGTTTTCTTAATTTACATGTATTTTACATTGAAGGAAACACGAACCAAGTTCCTAACACATATGAGTTTTAGGGCAATAGTAAAAGTTTGAGAAGTCCACCGAAAAGCTTTTCGGAGTCTCTACATGTACCTTGTCAACCTCTAGGAGAAGAGTTGAAAATGGCACATTTACAATGCTACTTGTCCAACTTTTCAAATTTTGCTCATAATTCATTGAACTTCCTTGATCCAGCTGAATGGCAAGCAGCGCTTATGGTAATTTTAGTCGTTTCAATGTGTATTATGTATTTCAAGTAATTAGATTTCCATATTTAACAAAAACATCCTGGGAAAAGTCACTTAAATGTACTTAAAGAGAGCAAAAATAACCTAGATTTGTCTGTCTGTCTGTCTCTCTCTTGCTAACTACTTCAGGAATAATGAACTAAAAAAGAAAGTCCTAGTTTGGCAAATAGGTGGTTTTCAAGAAATATGTGATGTCTGCCCTTTGGCATAATACAAGCATAGAAGGGAAATAGACCTAAGACCTAAAACTTTAGTATAGCCATGTCTTTTCAATATGAATGAATGACCTTGACAAAGTCAAGCCATTTCCCTTTTTATACAATATCTAAATTTTCTTCAAATGTATAAACCTAGTATACATGAGCATATGCTTCAGGTTAAGGATAATTATTATATGCCTAGAAACATATCCTTGTATATTAGGGTAGGACAGATAATAATACTACATACTTTTTAAACTTGTCTTTTAAAACCAGTGAAGACATGTTCACTGAGGTAAGCTTAATTTGAGAATGTACGGCAAAATAAACAGCTCAAGGCAACCATCAGAATGCCCTTTACGGTTATTTTGTTTCTAGTTAGTTTCATAATTCTGTAAGACTTACTAAAAATAACTTTATTAGTAAATAAATATAAAAATGAATAGTATACATCCAATTCATAGAAGCTGCAAAAATGCATTCATTATTTTGAAATCTCATGTGATGATATCATTACCACTTTACTAATATAAGAATATTTCAGGCTGGTAGTTTTCAAACAGATTGTGTTATTAAAACTTACATTTACAAACATTGATGCAAATAACATGATTATAAAACTACCAAATTATACTAACAGAGGTATACCATAAAGAGTACTGAATTTAATAATATGAGAACACAATGTGAAAAAGGCTAATGGAAAGAAGCACTGGGTTATTATTAACTACTGTAACTCTGCAATATGGAAACATAAACAAAAACACAGAAGGAAGTACAATTCTAAAAAGTATATTTACAGAGACAAATGTATTTGAAAAAATAAATTAAAAAAAGTATAAATGTTTCTAAAACAAGAGAGAAAAGAATACAACAGATTTAAACCAAAATTTCTACGTTGTAGCATATTCTCTCCCATTTCCTATTCCCTAATTTCTATTAAAGCAAATGTGCAATGCCTTCTATAAGGCATTTCAGTTAAAAAGATGCCAAAGTACTGCTCAATCACTGGCCTTTTTAAAGAACATTCAGTTTCATAAAAAGAAATGATTAATAGAAAATATAGATTTGAAATAGTCAAAAAGCATTAAAAATACTTCAAATTCCATCAGTGTTATGGACTACAGAGATTAATACACTTCAAGTGCAAAATATCTAGAAATTATCAGGATTCTAGTTATATGAGTGTTCATTTTATGAATATTTACCATATAAATTTCTCTCCACCTCCCCCATCCTTTGGGCTATTGTTGTCATACATTTTACATCTGCATTCTACTTAGTCAAATGAATCCTCTTGCCTTCCATTTAAACAAAAACAAAACAACAAACCTTTCCTCAGAATAGGCACTAGACAATGTTTAGCAGTATATAAGAACTAAGGGAGTCAGAGTAAGCCATAGCTAATATGTTTCCTTTAAACAAATATTTTTTCAAAATTTTTTAATAAGAAAAATATATTTTATATTTACCAACATATTTACTATTTCCAGTACTCTTTACTCCTTGTATACATTAATGTTTCATTTTTCTCTTTTCATAAAACATTTCCTCTAACTTTCCTTGTAGTGCCAGTCTTTGTGAAACAAATTCTCTCAGCTTATTGTTAAATAAAAAAGTGTTTGTTTTGTCTTTTATTTTTGAAGAATATTTTTTGCTGGGTATAGAATTCTGGGGTTACAACTATTTTTTCAGTACTTGATAGATGTCACTCTTTTGTCTTCTAGCTGGCATACTTTAATGAATACTTTCAGATTTTTCTTCACATTCCTCCCCTGCTCTGGCTACTTTTTTAAAAAAAATCCCCATTTTCATCAAATTAATTTTGATATGCTTTGGTGTCTATTTTTATCCTCATTTGGGTCCCTTGAGTTCTTAGATCTGTGAGTTTAAAAGTTTTCATCAAATTTAGAAAATTTTCTTCCATAATTTCTTCAAATATGTTTCTGCACCGCTCCAGAACTTTAGCTATATATATATAAGTATATATATATGACAATTTCATATGCCTCATAAGTCACTGAGGCTATCTTTCATTTTGGACTGATTTTATTACAATACCTTCAAGCTCAATGACTTTGTCTTCTGCAATGTCTATTCTACTCTTAATATCCAGTGACATTTAAATTCAGAGACTGTATTTTTCATAACTAGAAGTTCCTTTTATTCCAATACCTTCCTTTATGTATATATTTTTCTTAAAAAATATTTATAATAACTGATTAGCATTCTTGTTGGTAGTTCCACAAAATCTGTCACTTATAAGTCTGTTTCTATTGACTTATTTTTATCCTGGTTATGTATCAAATTTTCCTGCCCATTGGCACATATACTATTTTTTAATTGCATGATGGATATTATAAATATTACATTGTTGAGGGTCTGGATATTGTTTTCTTCCTTTCAAACAGTTTGAGTGTTTGTTGTAAGGAAGGGGAGCCAATTAAATTACTTGAGTATCAGTTTGATCAGGGTTTATTTCTTTGTCTAGATTGGATCTGGCACAGCCTTCACTCCACAGATAGGTAAGCCCTGCTTATAAGAAATTATCCACTCTACAGTCTCCACTAAATGCCCTGGTTGATCATGATTTCACACAATTCTGAATGGCTAAAACTCTAGTATCTCCCCATTCTCTGTAAGCGTTCATAATTATTCCATTTAAAATGCCCCTTCAAAGCTGTGTCTTGCCATATGGAGTTTTGTACTACCTATGCATGGTCTTGTTAAAAGATTGTCAATCTTGTCTAGCTTTTCAAAGAACCAATTCTTGGTTTCACTGATGTTTTGTAATTTTTTTTGACTCCATGTCATTTATTGCTACTCTCATATTTATTATTTCCTTCCTTCTACTCCCGTTGGGCTTTGTTTGTTATTCT